GAGAGAGAGAGAGAGAGGGAGAGAGAGAGAGAGCGTGTGAATGGATGGATGGAAACAAATGATGGAGGACGCAGGGGAAGGTTGTGAGGATGGCAAGAAAAAAGGCAGAGTAAGCCCGTGAGATTTATTCATGCGAGTGCAACTTTCAGCCTATGCAGCAGAGTGGTCACCAACCTTTTTTTGTGTCACGTCACGGACCAGTTGAGACAAGTTTGGGTAACTTATCCACCGGCACTTGTCATTCTAAACAGAGAAAAGTTCAAACATGCTTTCACAAAACGGCGAATTACGTGTGTAACTTCCATTCCATTTGGGAAGAAAAAAAAAAATGATTTTAATCACCACAGCCTGTTTGGTGCTTTTGTTGCCCCTCGAGGAAAAATCTGTTCTGCTGCTGGCAGTGCATCCATCTGTCCATTTGCGATGGCGCTTGTCCAACAGCAGGACACGCGACGACTCCATCCGACTCAAAACTGGTTTTAGAAGAAGACCTCAAATGAATGGCGGCACTAAGAAATGAAACGGTCACGGAGTTGACTTTGGATTTTGATCCTAAATTGACTTGAAGCAGACGAAAGCCTTCCAATTTGATGACGCAATTTGAAGAGTTGGTTTAGGTTTGACCTAAATCACGTTTTAAGCTGCGATAGGCCTCGACTAAAAGAGATTATGCGAGATGCAGCCAGCTTCTCTCTCATCATCGTCGATCCAATTTGTATTCAGAGCCACTTTGTCTTTCTCCCCCCTAAAATCGAAGGTCCTGCCTTCAGAGATGCTGCCAACCGTTGTGCTACATTTGCCATTATTATTCCAATTTTAATTGATGTACATTGTTATTGCACATCCCAATTCTGAGATGCAACCGTTTTATTATTGGAGGTAGCTGTGCTTACACTGCGTCTGGATTTAACATGTAACATTTAAATTGAAAAAGGTGAAATGCTTCAATAAGTAAAAGCGCAAATTATTGCATTAAAAAAACGAAAAAAAAAAAGCTCATGCCCATGAATGTTTTTGGCTTGGAAAAACAGGCCGCGGTTTGGCATCAGTTTCTGTCCTCGTACATGATTTCTCCGGTCGATTCCCACCCTTTTTTTAGTTATCATTAATTATACCAATTTGAATTCCAATTTCCAATAGATGCGGGGATGACTCATCCACCAATCGGCTCCAAAAGATCTGACAGTTCCTTTTTGGAGAACGTGATTCATTCCTTGCTGGTTCATAAAGACAAAATGACTCACACTCATCATTTCAAAGGAAATTGCAGCAAGTCGGGTTAAGTGTACCCAAAGAGTAACATTTATCTTTTTTTTTTTTTTTTTTTAATTCTTCTGACAAATTAAAAAGAGTGCATTCCGAGATGAGTGATCTGAACTGGTTTCACCTCGAACTTGCCTTGACAGCACAATGCCAGAAAATAACTTAAGACAGGCAGGCTGTGTAATTTTCACGACACGAGAGCTTCGTGTTTGCATGATGACACCGCAATGAAATGTTCAATGAGGGAGATTTATGACACAGCGCGTCAAGGCCCAATCCTCTCGGAGCCTCCGCCCTTTTCTCTGGAAACACACAGCCAGTCGGCCGAAGCCCCATTTCTCCAAACTAATGAAAATACACACGAGACTTATCACGTTACATAATTTGATCAATACGGTGCGCTGAACCTTCTTTGGCCTCATGTGTGAGCCAATATGTTGATGCAAATTTACTTGGTGTGTACCTATTGGGAATACTGCGGCGCTAATTGACGAGCTCTCGTCTAGGACGTTCGTGGCGTATGAAAACGGAGCAAATGTTTTTTTACGATGCTTTGTATGCATCAATGCCTCTTTGAGCGCTTTTTGTTTTGTCGTTGCGATATGTCAGCGCGGCCGCCCTATCCGATGTGACAGATGTGCTCGATAAACTCGCACAAATAAATAGACTGAGTTCCATAAAGCACCCATGAAGTGCACAAAGTCAAGGCCTCCAATTAACAGACCGATATAGTTCAGAAACGGATGAGCACCAAACACAAACCACGGGCCCGCCGTATTTTAAAGACCATTTTTTAAAATTGACTTCCCCTTTAAGTTCTTTTTCTTTCACAAGAGACCTTTTACACATGTATCTGCACTTCTAATCACTTGACTTGAGTTCAAAATACTTCACTTAAGTGTGAGTGGTTGTGCCAGCCATGCAGCAAGGCCAATTTAGTGGCCGAAGCGCAGGTTCTAGCGCCCCCGCTGTCAACCTGCGGTGACATTGAGGAGGTGTTCACCTGACACGCGACTAGATCAAATCTTCCACTGCAGGCCGCTGTTGATGAAGACGAAGCCCTTTGAGGGTGCATCGTGATGACGGCCTACATGTAAACTTCCACGATGACGAGGATAATGATGATGATGATGATGATAATGATGACGTGGACGGCGATGACGACAAAGCCATCCTCTCGGTCGGCCTCTCCCGACCGCAACGAAGCATGTCAGCATCCGCAGCGCTTGTAAAAGGCGCTTTGTGCATCCCTAATCCGCTGTGATGTCACCGCGCAGGGGGAGGAGCTTCGCTCTCCGAGTTAGCGCGACAACTTGTCGTCGTCTGGACGATCGAACCGAACCGCAGCGAGCTGAAGGAGCGAGCGGGCACCGTCCGGGAGGAGGCGGCGGGGATGCAGACGGCCGGAGCCGGACCTCTCCTCCGCTGACACGCAGGTAACGCGATGACCGACCGCGTTTTCTGTTGCGCGTGTGAATGTTGATGCGAGGCCTTGTTTTTACGACACCTGCCCGGATGGAAGCGTCTGGAGGCGCATCGAGACAGGTGACAGATTGTTCCTCCCTTACATAATATTTGAATACACCGTTTCACCGAGATGAATGATGCTTCGTGCGTCGGGGAACGATCCCCTCCTGTTATTTTGCAGCGCGTCTCATGACACGACATTATTATGTTTGAGAGACGCTGTCTTGTTTCTTTCTTTTTTTTTTTTAATGGCCAGCTGCTCCTTCGTTCTCATCGTGCTGCCAAATAAATGGCTTTAGGTGAGCCCCGCTCACGTCAGAGAATCCTCAAGGCAATGGCAAAGGATTCGAGCATTCGACAGGTTGACATCTTCCATTCCGTGTCTTTCGTGGATTTTGGAGCTATGGAGTTGCTATTGTGGAAATGCGGTGCACGAAACATGACTCTGCGTGTGTGTTCTTGTGTGCGTGTGTGTGTGTGTGTGTGTGTGTGTGTGTGCGTGTGTGTGTGTGTGTGTGTGTGTGTGTGTGTGTGTGAGAGAGAGAGGCAGAGGGAGGGTAGGACGAGGAATGATGCACTCAATTATTAAAAGGTAAAGATAAAGATATCCACATGAGTGAGCATACAGCAAATTAAAACTCATCCATGACTGACGAGAAATACTACACTAAGTAGGCCTATGTATGTGCGTGTGTGTGTGTGTGTGTGTGTGTGTGTCTTCACACACACACACACACACACACACACACACACACACACACACACATATATTCATTCATACCCTCTATTGGACCACCTGCAATCATAATGAGGATTGGTGGTTTGGAAAATGGAATGGATAGCAATTGGGCCAGCGACTGGACAGTGCAGTTGTGGCTGGCAATTCTGTCTTGGAGTTCTAAGATTCAGGATTCAAGCCTCTTGCTGTGTTTTCCATGGGCTGAGATTTGTGCCACCAGAACCAGAATTTGAATAATTTATATTTGGATTGGAATTGCGTTGAAAAACTGAATTTGAATGACATAAATTGAATTTGTATTGCTTCATTGGAATCAGTGCATTGAAAAACTGACTCTGCATTCTACAATTGCAATTTGAATGTATCATAGTTTGGAATTGAAGGCCAACTTGAAACTGAAATTCGAATTCTGAAATGTATTTCCGTTTTTCTGAAACTAGCTTTGCTCCTCGGTGTGAATCAAGTTGTATATATTTTCACATTCCTTTTTCCAAATACGAGTTCAGTTCTTCTCCCTGCAAATTCATTTTGCGCGACAGGCATCTGGGTACTTAGGTTGTCACAAAACCCCCATAATGTTCAGGTTAGTGCACTACAGTATTTCATTCCGGCTTTGGGTGCAACTTCCGATGATGTGGGTCATTGCACAATCAGACAAGGCAGATATCACTTGCGTAATACTTGATGTCTTTTTGTGCATCCACTTTTTTCTTGCTATTGCATAACAAACACACGGTTAGTGCCGCGCCAGTCATTCGGAAATTCTGAATGTCAAATTGTGCCTTCGCCTCACTTAAGGACTTACAGATAGGCACTAATGAGGGGTGAGGCAACTTTGATGCTCGCCAGGACCCTACCCCGAGGATCAGACTGTAACCAACCGCTGACTCCAATCACAATTTGTTTTTTAACTCTGTAAATTACCAAGCAGAGATATATTTTGCACTCCCGTTAACTGTATCAGTACTGTATGTATCTTGGTAATTAAGTCAATAGAAATCCACAAGGACTTAAACATGAGGTTATGAATTCCAGTTTCAGCCTTTTGTCGAATTTCACTTCATACAGATTCACTTCAGATCGCCTTTGTCACACAACCGCTCATGATTTAATTGAGTCCACATTTCTGTCACTTATTTGCTTGTTGGGGGGAGTGACATGAAAGCCGACTTGTGTCTCCAAACGTAAATATGATCCTGTTATCGACACTGTGTGTGTGTGATAGCTAACTCCAGGTCCTTTCTATGCCCAAATAGCACGTGCGCCGTTGTCAGTGGGTGTTTGTCAGGAGCGGATTAGTGAGTTAATGGGTAAGCAAATCCCCAACCCTGCGGCTTTCACTGCGCCCTGACAGATGGAAGTCTAGCGCTCTGTTCAAGGCCCCGCAGATGTACCGCCGCTCAGCTGGGCCATCTGCGGCTGGGCCAAGCCCGCCTTGCTGAGCGTCTCTCCAAGGTGCCTGGCGTCTACCCACGCAAACTCGGTGCAGAGAGGATCATCCGGCAGCTTCTCAGTCCACCCTGCCAGTTGGGGTTTGCGGTCAGATTAGAAGATGTCAACTTTGGGGACTTGATTAACCTTCGGCCCGGGTTCGTGGTGTTAGCGAGTTATCAGTCTGCACATTTTGTCCTTTTCCGTAATCCGTAAAATTCTGTTTTGAATGTACCGTCGTCCTCTCTCAGCAAAATAGGCAGCACAGGCTACCACAGGATGGATACCCTGATAGCCTCATCATATTTAATCAGCATCACAACTGGCCCTGTAACTCCCAGGACACTTATTAGTCAGATCACCGGCCTACCCATCGCCCTGTGTCAGTTCTTATCCAGCATCAGCAAAATATCCCTTTTTTGTCTTCCCACCCTGACTCCTCTTTGACCTTTGGTCTCCTTTCGTTCTGCCAGCTGCTCAGTGGCTGCGTGAAAGTGGATGAAAGTGCACCCGCTAACCAAACCAGTCCCGGGGGATTTATTTTTCCTGATATTAGTCGGGCATGATTGATGTGATTGATCTAAGCTGGCAGGAAAGAAAAATGTCTCTTACTTACTAAATTACATTGCACGATTGTTGGACTAATTTTTTTTAAAAATTTGTAACAGTCACTTTCCAACCTTTCCGAGGATTTGTGTGATCATTTGTTGATATTGTTTTTGGTCTCTGTGTCTGTTCACGTAGGTGAAAGGACTATGTTTTAAGAATTGGAGTCAAATTACCCCAGTAAAATGAGCCACAAATACCCGGAAGAGGGGAGTGGGGACGTGGAGGAGGAAAGCCCTGGTGCCTCCGCTTTGCGGAGGGCGAGGCACAATAATGGGTCGGTGCCTGGAGAACCTTCTGTACGTCGACCCTGGAGGCCATGTCAGATGCTCAGTCAAGATGGAGAGTTGAATCCAGATCATCATCATCATCATCACCACCACCATCTTCAACCTCCTTATCATCACCACCCACCTGCAGGTCGTGGTGGTCCACAACGGCAACGCCGGCGTCCACCATCCGTTCAAGGCCAAAGTCAGACCAATTTCTCTGGCCCAAACGCAGAGGATGTTCTCTGTCGCGAAAGTCAAAACACGGAACCCCGTCCTGTCCAGCAGCTTCGGCCCGCTGTCACGCGTTACCGCCGTTGCGGTGACCCGAATCCGAGGCTCAAAGGTCAAAGACAGAGGCCACCGGTCAAGGAGATGCAGGAATCCTTATCGGTTTCAGACCACCGAGAAGGTCAGACGGAAATGACAGTGCAGCAAAACACGACAGATGGTCTTTCAAAGGAGCAATCACAGGACAGAGGATCTCACCACCAGACTCCTGTTGCTGTGGTCACCCCAACTCACCTCTCACCAGGACCAATACGTCTTGACTTCAACCCAGACCTCCAAGAAAGTGCTGCGGTCTGTGGGAAAGAAGTTAAGGAGAATGAGGAAGCAGGACCTGCGGAGAATGGTGCAGATCAGCACCCCAGCACAGATCTCTCCCGCTGCACCTATGACAACCTACAGGCAGTTCAAGATGGAAGAGAGCTATGTGTCGACAAGGCGGTGGAAAATCAGGAGGACGAGATGGATGGGGGAGTTCTCGATGTTGAAGCTCAGGGGAGTGAAATCACTGATCTCTGCTCAGACACAGAAAGCGCCGCCTCACTCAGTAACGACGGACCTCTCCATAGCCCACCGCCGCTCCAGTCCCCAACTCCGCCATCATCTCCTGATGCACCGCTTTTCCCACAGCTGGACCACTTCGCCGAGGAAGCCAGTATGAGCCCTTTGCCCGACAATGACGCTCTGCCTGAAGATGACGACGAATGCTCTGAATCGCCCCTGGAATACTACCCCAAAACCTATGCAGACTTTTATACAGAGTCCCACCAAAAGTCTTACGTGGAGCCGGTTGAAAATTCAGAGACAAAATCTCATCCCAAATGTTTTCCGGAACCCCTTAAGACCTCCTACTCTGAAGCACGCCGAGAAGCTCGCATGCAGTCTCGTCAGAAGTCTGAGCCATACGAGGCCCAGCAGGGGTCCCACCGTGAGCCATTTACCAGCCATAGACAGGAGAATGTCCAAAAATCCTCCCCTATCAAGGGCTCCCATCATGCACCAAGGCGGGGCAAAGACCGAAGTTCCCGTCCCTCCCAAGTGGACAGCTCTGTCGGCTGCCGGCTGCACCACTATGACGGTCAATCTGACGGAGAGGGGGGCAGTGCTACACAAAGCCCCATTCAGAAAAGCTTGAGGCCAGCAGATACACAGACGAAACATCCATCGTCTTCGCTGGGCAGCACGAGAGAGACCAAAGATGAGGTTGGCGTCTCAGCCGAAGAAGGTACAAAGATCCCGGGAGACGCCATCAGCCTAGTAATAAAAGACATTCGGGAGGCCATTGAGGAGGTTAAGACCAAGACGATACGGTCCCCCTACACACCTGACCAGCCCGTGGAACCCATTTGGGTAATGAGACAGGAGATTAGCCCGACAGAGGAAGTCGACCCACTGCAGATGATGCCGGGCCATGTAAGTTTAACCCCACATTTCTACAACAAATTTGCTTCGTCATTCACCAAGGCCTTTGATTCATTAAAGGGAGCGTTTATTCGGACGTACACGTTTGATTTCTTCCTTTCGTTTCCTTCCACATTGTTCTCCTTCGTCCCCCTCCCAGTCAGTGTCCAGGTCTCCATCCCAGCATGCCTCAGTGTCAGATCAGGAGTCTGGCAGTCCGCTGAATGTCAAGTCCTCCAGAGCAGGCCACTCCCAACAATATCGCGAGCATCAGCCCCAAGGCCGCCAGTCGCATCAGAGAGAATGCGTGCAGCCTAATCAACCACAGCAACAGCAACATCACCAACAGAATCAACAGCATCTAGCTCAGCAGCCACGACAACAGGTTCAGCAGCCGCCTGGACAAGAGGTGACGTCAGTAAATCATCCAAAGACAAAAAAGTCCTCACGTGAAATATTTCAGTTCATGATGTAAGATTGTTGTGCTTTTTTTTTGTATAGATTCGCAGATCTCTTCCTCAATTTCCCACATTTGTGGATGGTGAGTAGAGTATGAATGAATCAAATTAATAATAACATTTAAAGGTAATATGACCAAGTTCATTATTTATCAAACTGGTAGCTCTTCACATTAATTAAAACCCAGGAAATAGCTCTAAGTTTCCAAAAGGTTGGTGCAAGGTGATCTCCATTACCCATGTCACATGGGCGGCCGATGACATCATCCGCAAGGGGAGATCTTGCAGTTTACCTGTATCATTGCACTTTGCGTTCGCCAATCTCATGCCCAGACCCAGGCGTGTCTACGTCTGTTTCCGCAATGTCAAGCACGGCATGCGCTCCGACCACCCTGATTTTAATGCAAATGAGGTATGCCACTATGACTCGGCTACGTTTCATCCCACAATGGCGCGCAATGGCGCAATTGCCCCGTTATGGCCAATTCCACCTGTGCAAAGTTTAAGAAAATACCAAAGGAAAGAAAACTCCCCCCACGGGTACAGATAGACTGCGCCTTGTGCTAGACTTGTGCTGGGCACAAAATTACAGCCTGTGAGTTCAAATGTCCCATTACTTTTCTAAGTATAAATGCATTTTTGTGCCTAATGAGTACATTTCACATGTGTAGTCCCTGGACCATGTGACCCTGATGACCTTATTGACGGCATCATCTTTGCCGCAACTTACTTGGGATGCACGCACCTGCTGTCAGAGAGGACACCCACAAAGAGCGCCCGCATGCAACAGGCACAAGAAGCCATGAACAGAGTGCGGGTAAGGACACTGAATGGTTGTGATGATTCATTTGTTTTGTACAGTGGGACATTGAGCTTTTGCAGCAGCACACCCCTGCCTCTTAGAAAAAAAATGTTACTATCGATTCATGAGTTATGCTTTGTCTCTCTGCAGGCAGCTCAGAAGCAGGCAAAGAACAAGAAGAAAGTAAGTTATCTCTCATCTCATCATTTTTTTTGGGGGGGGAGGGGATTGATTTGAATGGAAGTCTTGGTTGGAAGTCTTATGAAAGGTAAACATCAGCTCATATGTGACTCAACCAATCGGAAGTCGCACGGCCATGTTTTGAGCTGGAGCCCAGAAAAGGATTGACTATTCTCGGGCAACATCATTCCCAATCTTTAAATGGGCATATTTTCACCAAATATGACCCAGTTTCCTCAGTCCATGCATCACTTGAAAATCATTTTTAATGGCCTTTCAGAAAATGTACATATCTCACCTTCTTAAATTTGACGTAAGTGATCTATCTCTCTGTTTGGTTCTGGAGGGTCACATGGAGCTAATTCTGATTTTACAGTTTCCTCTTCATTTTAACTGAATACTTGAATCATTTTTTTTTCTCTCCATTTTTTTCCGTTTTTAATCTGTTCTTGTCCATGTTGACATTTCTGTAGAGCCCTGACAGTGAGACTCCATGTACTGCTGAAGTGGATCTTTTCATGTCCACGCAAAGAATCAAAGTCCTCAATGCAGATACTCAGGTAGAGATACTGGACACACCGTATCCTTGAAAAGGAAATGTGATGATGCGTTTGTGTTGCACTTTAAAAGTGCCCAGAAGGAGCAAACGTGTGATCATAGCACTTGGCAACTTTTTATTTTAACTTTCTCTGAACATCCTTTATTGTGGGCCACCAGGAGTCTTTAATGGATTTGCCGTTGAGGACCATCTCCTACATTGCCGACATTGGCAACATGGTGGTCCTGATGGCCCGGGGCAAGATGGTCCGGTCCCGCAGCATGCAGGAAAACTTGGAGCACGCCGCCGAGCAAACCACCATGTCCAATGATGACAGACGGCTCTACAGGATGATCTGTCACGTCTTTGAGTCTGAAGATGTGAGTCATCGCTTGGCTATTTCGAGCCATCGTCACAAAAGAGTTGGAAAAGTTTGGATGCATGGCTTTTTCAAGCTGTGATTGTGTTAAAAACAATAGACCGTTGAGAAGCGCTGGGAATAAAACTTAAGTATAAGAATACCCGTACTACTTATATTGATCAGCATGAGTGGTGTTTTTTTTTTTTTTTTGTTCTCAAGATGAACATGTCTTCGTCTCTTCCTCAGGCCCAACTTATTGCTCAGTCCATCGGACAGTCCTTCAGTGTGGCCTATCAGGAGTTCCTCAGGGCCAATGGCATCGACCCCGAGGATCTGAGTCAGAGGGAGTACAGCGACCTACTCAACACTCAGGACATGTACAATGATGACCTCATCCACTTCTCCAAGTCTGAGAACTGTAGAGACGTAAGTGAACCAGCAGGTGGCAGCCGAGTGCTGTTGACACTGATGCTGTGTTGGGTTCCTTGAACGTTTTCAGATCAACACGTCCCTGGAGAGATTTAGCTTTACAATCACAGGAATAAATGAAACGTGAGCCAAAAAGCTTTTGTACCTGTCCATTCCCTTTCAGCGGAAAAGCAGCGGTGTTGAAATAGACGAGAGAGATACAATAAAACGATTTGAAGAAAAATGAAAAACATTTACATCCTAATTAAATTAAAGGTCAGATGTCTTGCCCTCAGGTTTACATTGAGAAGCAGAAGGGGGAGATCCTGGGTGTGGTGATAGTGGAATCTGGCTGGGGGTCCATCCTCCCTACCGTCATCATCGCCAGTATGATGCACGCAGGCCCTGCAGAGAAGTCCGGTCGACTCAACATCGGCGACCAGATCATGACTATTAACGGTACCAGCCTAGTGGGTTTACCTCTCAGCACCTGCCAGAGCATCATCAAGGTATGTTGGCCAACTGCGATTTCTCGGACTCTTCAAAAGTCGTCTTTTCTATTGACTAATCCAATTCAATCTTCCTTCAGGGGCTGAAATCTCAGTGCAGGATCAAGATGAACATTGTTCGGTGTCCGCCCGTTACCATGGTGCTCATTCGCAGGCCGGACCTCAGATATCAACTGGGTTTTAGTGTCCAGAATGGCATTGTGAGTATTTCGCCAGAGAGTAAACGTTTGTTTCTGGTGCAGAAACAATTGCCTTCTTGTAGAACCAGAATGTTTGGGATCGTATTATTAAGCTTCAAAGTACAGGCGGGAGACACAAGTAGGTCAAAGTGAGTCTCAAATCTAAACCTTCAAGTTTCACTTTATTTGGAGTAATAGTAAAGGGCTTATATCATGCTAAATTTGGCAGCAAAAATTTCAGAGTGTGCCAGCTCCAGCCGGGGAGATCGGTGCCTCAGCCGAGGTGAGCACTCATTGCGCCTCTAACTCTTAACCCTAACTCCTAACCCCAAACACGAACTCCCGAACTCAAAACCCTAAATCACAACCCCAACACCCGAACCCCAACCCTAACCCCTAAAATTTAACCTTAACCCGAACCCAAAACCTCAACCTAACACCCTAATCCCCCCAACCCCAACCCCAACCCCAAACCCGAATCGCTAATCTTCGACCCCCAACCCTAACCCTAACCCCGAACACCCGGGGTTTTTTTCGGTAAAAACGCCTTACTATACATGGTGGTTTTTTTTCAGCTAAAAACGCCTTACTACACATGGTGTTTTTTTTCGGCGAAAAACGCCTTACTATACATGGTGGTTTTTTTCGGCTAAAAACGCCTTTCTATACATGGTGTTTTTTTTGGGCTAAAAACGCGTTACTATACATGGTCGTTTTTCTCATCTAAAAACGCCTTACTATACATGGTCGTTTTTTTCAGCTAAAAACGCCTTATTTTTTTTATACTATGTCGTTTTTTTCGCGCTAAAAACGCCTTACTATACTATGTCGTTTTTTTTTCGTGCCAAAACGGCATACGATACTATGTTGTTTTTTTCGCGCCAAAAACGCCTTACTATACGATGTCGTTTTTTTCGTGCCAAAAACGACTTACTACATGTACTATGTCGTTTTTTTCAGCTAAAAACGCCTTACTATACTATGTTGTTTTTTTCGCGCCAAAAACGCCTTACTATACGATGTCGTTTTTTTCGTGCCAAAAACGACTTACTACATGTACTATGTCGTTTTTTTCAGCTAAAAACGCCTTACTATACTATGTTGTTTTTTTCGCGCCAAAAACGCCTTACTATACGATGTCGTTTTTTTCGTGCCAAAAACGACTTACTACATGTACTATGTCGTTTTTTTCAGCTAAAAACGCCTTCATTTACTATGTCGTTTTTTTCGGCTATAAATGCCTTACTATACTATGTCGTTTTTTTCGTGCCAAAAACGCCTTACAATACGATGTCGTTTTTTTGGTCTAAAAACGCCTTACTATACTAAGTCGTTTTTTTCGGCTAAAAACGCCTTACTATACTATGTAGTTTTTTTCGTGC